AAAGCGAAGAAAATTTAATTGTTTTTAAATATTGCACGCTAAGGCTATCGGGGTTCAGAAATCCCGCCATTCTACACACAGTTTTCAGTTAAATCGCGCTCGAAATCGAAATAAATATAAGACAAGCGCTTCCGATCCCAAAGTGCACTGACTACATGTGCACACCAGCCAGCTTAAAACATCGAACGTCGCTAGACCTTCGCGGGGAACAAAGAGTGCGGGGGGGCATAGTTCCACCAATTGGATTTAATATTGAAATGTGCAGTGAACGGGGCGTTCAGGCGACGCGGTGGACGCTGTGATTCCAGCGTTGCCGGTTGCGTTTGTTTTGCTGGCGCATTTGGCCACTAATTTTTTAAATTAATACTTTACAGGTAGAATGTTAAAATTTGAAGAATGATAAAATTAAATTTAAAGTTGTTTGATATTAATTTGGGAGTGCACGTGCACATGTGCTCTTATGGAGGAACCGCCACTGATCACATTCCATAATTATTATTCAAACAAAATTATTTTAATCACTGACTTGGCAACCATGCAGCCTACCCAACCACCTGTTATTGTTTATATTCACAATTTTTGCAACAAAAATTTCACAAAAACTGCTGCCTTTACGTCTGCCATCGGAATATGACCCACTTATTATATAATCATTTTTTTATATTTTTAAAACTCAAAAAAACTACGATTTTCTTCATTTTTATCACCCGATACAGACACACAATTCAACAAATAATGACTTGGCAACATGGCAAGGAACGTGATGTCGGCAAGGACATTCCCTTAAACATGAGCCAATAAGAGAAAAGCAATTTCGTCACTTGACCTAGTTTTACTTGCGCGAAAAGCCAACTATCCTAGACGGCGCTATTTTAATGGTGAAGGAATACTCAGTACTGTCAATACGTAAAAAATGACGTCATCAAGCCTTGCTAAAATTGAATTATTGTCAAATTAAAATTTAATTTTCATTAAGGTGGGTTTAGCCAACTCTTAATGAATAATGCACAACTTAATTCAAAATAATTGATAATGCGTAATTCATAACGCGTAATGCATAAGAGAAAAGAAGTGTTTATACAACGCATAATTTTTGTTCATTAAGAATTGACAAGACAGCTAAGTTTGACACTTGCTATTTTTCATAAAATAATAAATAATGGAATAAATAATAAATTACGATTTATATTCGTTGGAAAAACCCATTGACCTCTAACCTAGGATAGACCCAACAAGTCATTCATAAAATAATTCCCCAAACAATCAGGAACAATATCTTAGGAAAAATGATTTTACTTGTTTTGGCAACACCGCTTTCGAGCGACCTTGCTTGGCCGACATTTGGAGGGTTCGGCTGCCAGTGGCGGAGCGGTGGTCTGTCTAGGAATCATTGCTAGGAATTAAATGAAATAAAACTTGCAAATTTATTAATTTTCAAACTTTTTATTTTTTCACAATTTTATTGAAAGACAGTGAAGTACAGGGTTATTGGTTATAAATGTCACCCCCTGTACCTTTTTTATTTGGCATTTTAGAAAGAAGTCTTCCAAATAGAAGATAGTTGAAAATATATATTTTTTTTAAATCACTTTTGCATGTATGTAGAAGGTGTTCCAGAAATGCTGGAAGAGGTCTTATTTCCTTATTTTAAATGGAATACCCTGTATATTATTGAATATTCGAATTCCGCATAAAATTTTGAGCAGATTATTTTATAATGCAGCTTATAACTAAGTACAGCTGTTTTAGAGATAATGACAGTTAAAAATTGACTTTTTTGCAACTTTGGCAGGCTGTAAAACCTAAACGTTTAATTTTAGACCAAAACCGACCTTAGATTATTACTCAGATTTTCATGTACCATCATTTGACACCAACATTGAATTTAATCCATGATTGAAAATTCCAATTAAATTCCAACCGGAGATTGAATTTAATTGGAATTTTCAATCACTGATTAAATTCAAAGTTAGTGTCAAATAGTAGCTTATGGAAAGCTAAAGATGAAAAAGTAAAATCGGGTTTGCTCTAAAATTAACCGTTTGGGTTTTAGAGCCTGTCAAAGGTTAAAAAAGTCAATTTTCAACTGTCAATATTTTCAAAAGAGTTGAACTAAGGTAGGTATAGAGTATATATCACTTGAAATCTGCTCAGAATTTTACGTAGAATCCGAAAACTCAATAATATACAGGGTATTCCATTCAAAATAAGAAAGTAAAAATGTAGAGAGGAGTGACATTTATAACCAATTACCCTGTACATATTCATTCGCCTAGAAAAAGAACAATTTTTGTATTAATGCTCCTGGATCTGCTAGTTCTTATTTCGTCTAGATGACGTTTGGTTTCATGGAATATTCTTATTTTAAAATATTGTTTTAAAATTATTTTAATAAGAGGAGTGGCATGGTTTTCAAAGAGATGGTCTTCAAAACAGTCTAACAGGGAGGAAGGCAATTCCCTCATGGTGTTCATTATAAGGACATCATACAGGTGCTTAATGTTTTTGTTATAGATGCTTTTCGTTTTATTGAAGAACCTGCAAAAAGTCTCTGCAAATTAACAAAGTTTTCTTACAAAATTAGTAGCGCTGCATAGGTTTCCGAATGCTTTTCTTTTCTCAAAGGCTGAGCGTGATGCCAGATCCTCCAGCAAATCGAGGCATTTCACACATGTCACTGTTTTTTTACAGCTTTGACCACAAAGGCAGCTATGTAGCCAACAACATCCTCAACATAGGTAGTGAGATCCCAGGCTTTTGATGAGATCAACTCATTATTTTGGATATTCTCTTCTACCTCCTTCATAAAAGTTTTGTACTCTTCGGAATCCTCCAAGCTTTCCCCCTCATCACCGTCAGGATCCTTAGTCAATCTGCTGGAGCCACATGTAAGGATTGTAATGTCCACCAGATTAATCGTGTTGCCGCTGTTTGGGGCTTTCAGCTGATTTTGCAACCATCAGCCTTTTGTATGCTGCCTGGAACTGTCTTGATGTCGGGTTATTATTGAATCCACCTCTCTGCCGGATCAGACAAAAAAACAGTTCCAAGTGGTCTTGGGAAATCTTGTATGTTAGTATATACTTCAAATACTCGGTTTCTATGACATGGAATGTGTACATGTGCTTCAAACTGTTTATATCGATTAGGAAACCGATGAAACCTGTTTTCCTAGAACATTTCACAACAGGTGATGTGTTCAGCTGCAAATTTAATATATAGTCCTTCATCATATCCAAGTATTCGAAGATTTCTAGGTGATTTCTATTGGACAATGGCTTTTTGAAGCTATACTTGGCTAGATTCGTCTGTGAGTTGAAAATATCAAATAAGTTGTTAAATTTCAGAACAAAATCTGCTGTTTCCTCAGACCCTTGAAATTCTACCAGTTTCAAGTCTTCTCGGAGGTAGTCTAAGGCAACGCTCACACTTCGGCTCAAGGACTGTGGAGCCAATTTAACTTTCATTTTTTCACGTTCCCATTGAACGTGGCGACCTCTTATTTTTGTAGCGAGAAGTAGGCCCTCCTTAACTTGCGTTTCTTGAAGTTTTACGATAAAGGACCAGTCAATAATCCTGCCATTGGTACTATTTTTGAGGCCCTCGTGATTTGACTTAACCGACGCAACACAGTTTCTCACCAGTTTAACCATGTGGCGGGCATCTAGGAAAATAAATACAGGTTTTTTTGTTATGGGGTGTGCGAAATGGGTTTTTAGATTTTGGCAGTCATTAAAATTAGCACCTAACTTCTCTGCCATAGATAAGTTCACAGGCGCTCCGTCAAAAGTTATGGAAGCGACCTCTACTCCGCTCTCCTCCACAAATGTCAGACACTGCTTCACAAGATCAGCCTTCGTACTTGCTTCCAAGCCGTCCAAAAAAAAATATCCAACCGGAAGCTTCCATCCCCCATTCAGAGCCACCAGCATAAACACTAACACCTCTTTTGCCACTGACAATGTGTCAGACTGAATATTCGACCCAATGTCAATGTATCCAGTGAATTGCTCTCCTCTCCATTCTACCTGCTTCCTAATGGACATCTCATCAAACACTAGGTTGCACAAAATTTTCTTTTCTGATTGATTTGCATGTATCTTGATAGCAGTAAGAGCTTCTTTGGAGAAGCCTGGACTGCCATCTACAGACTGGAACCACCTTGATATTGTTCCCAGTGCAGGTAGGGACTTGTTAAATGTTTCTCTAACAAATGCATAAGCTCTCGGTGAGCAGAAAGCCAGGGTAACTGCAAATAATCTCAGAGTCTTGTTATACTTTTGAGTGCTAGATCCCTGCAGCATTCTCTCGAAAATATCAGCAGCTGGACCAGATATTGTGGCCTGGAAAAAAAAACTATTTATGAACATTTCTCGCTGAGAGGTACTCAGTTTACTATATTTCCTAACAACTTCTTAGAAAATCTTATCATAAGTGTGGATTCAGATTGCTCACCGATATACCTCTGGTCCTTAAGATATACCAAGAGACTTTTTAGATTTGTAATTCTTGCTTTCAATCTGCGAACAGTCATTTGGAGATTATGCTTTTCTGATCTCAATTTTGTAGTTGTTTGTTTGATCTTCTGCAAATTTCTTCTGCGTTTTTCGGGTGTGGAAAAGTTACCAGTGGAGAGATCGCCAATGTAAAATTTTCTACAAAAAAAAATCGATTAGCAAAAAGTTATCGTGTTCATAAGAAAATAAAAAATACGTTTAAATTAGAAATTCGAAAATCACAAAAAACCCATCAAAAATATGTGGTCGATCCCCATTATGTTTTTAGCCTAAAGAATAGCGAACTTCCTCATTAAAAAAACATGCTCTGGATTCTATTCTATTCTATGTATATCTGTTACATACTTCTTTCTTCCTTTAATAGCAGAAATTTTAACTGATGACTGAGCCTGACCAGGTTGTGGAGGTGTCAAAGCATGCTCAATGGTCTGCTCACAGTCTTCAAATTCATCAGCTGTGAAAGTGACTGAAGAAGATGATTGACTAAGTGACCCACCAACTGGAATCAATGATCTCCTCAACCTCTGAATCTTTCATGATACGTGCTCTAAAACAAAAATTTCTCAATAGGAAAAATCTAAATACTTGGCTAGAAACGATGAGCTCTAAAATACATTTTAAGCTTGCATAACTTAATGCAGTATTATAAATCAAATTTCTTACTTTTTGGCTCGGATTTCTTCATTTGGTTTTACCAACTGAACATTTGAGTGCAAAAAGGCAAGTTTTGTGGCAAGCGAAGTATCGGATTCATTGGTACTAACAATAGCTTGACTGGTGGTACTAACAGTAGCTTGGCTGGTAGTACTTGTAGGTTGACTGGTAATTGTTACCCTTAAAAACATATTTATATTCAGCAAAATACATAAACATTTATTAAAAAATCAATTTTCATTTGAAGACATTGATAGTTTTTATTCTGGAGCATATAAGAACCTACCTTGCAAGGCTATAGTCTTCATTTCCTTCTGAAGAAACAGGCACTAGTAGCACCTCTTCAGGTATTTCCGGACCCACTGAGATATCACTGGAAAGAAATAAGTCTATCAGTTGCTTCCAACATAAAAGTGCAGTTTCTTATTCAAGATCCCAAACTGTATAAAATAAGCACAATTGAAGGGATCATAGACGAATTAATGTTATTTCCAGTTCAAGAAAAACGACAGTCTGTTTTTTTTTTAAAGATAAAAGTCAAATTGACATTATGTTGGCAATACAATGTAAAATTGTTGATGCTATCAATTTTTTTATGTAGAAAAGTTAGAGATAGTTACTAAATTTTTGACATGAGGAATTATCTTTAAAAAAAACAGACTTGAGGCATTTAGAGATATAGACTATTGAGAGTAAAAAGATCAGACGAAAGTCCTCTGTTTCTAGTCTGAAACAGAGAAGTTTCTGTTTGGGCTTATGAACAAGAAATGGGCAATAATATGAAAATGTAGTGAACTACTCTGGTATTGACAGTCAAACTAAAAAGTTCGACTGTTACAGGAATAATGTGGTGCTTTGGTACAATATTTGGTATCTAACATCGGTCCATGATATTTACCTATCAGAGTTAGATGTTGAAAACAACTGTCCTATGAGCTTCGGAGCAGCGTCTGACTTTAGGAATTTCTTGCCATCCCGTCTGACAATGTAGTCAAAATGGTCAGAGCATACCTTTGCAGTTTTAGTAACTTTGCTAATGTTCAGATTCGACAGCCATATTGCGCTTTACAGGATCTTGGGGAAACCCGAAAGGATTGAAAATTTGTGAGAAAATGTATGTGCAAATCGTTATTTCAAGTTTGCAAGTGAAAAAATTTCAGTTAAAATTTGTCTCTTCATTTGCTTGATGTAAAGAAATTTTCAAACATTGCCCCCACTTGTGCTCAACCTCTATTATTTGAAAGAATCTTCCATATGCCATAAGAGTGCCATTTTAAAGTCACAAAAAGTGTTACCTAATTCCATTGCAAGTTAAGCTTTTCCGGAAAAAAAATAGGATAAAATATTATAAGACAATCAAGGTTTTCAAATTATTTATAAAACTTTTGTCACATGTGCCTTTTTGAATTGCACATACCACAAAGAAATTACATTTTTTTTTTAGATTGCAGCACAAAAATCAGTTTTAGACTACAGATTGCCAAAAATGCTCTCGTGTTTTTAACTGAAAAAAAAAACGGAGTATTGATAAGCTTTAAGTGCGGCAAAACTACTTTGCGCACCTGTAAGGAAAAATATTTTTTCTACGTGTGAATTATTCAACTACTTTTTTATCTTAATTTTGAAATTTTATTGGCATCAAAAACAACTTTTAAGTCACTACCTATATAAAAAAAAATATATCCAAATCGAATCGACATTTTTCGCCCATTAACGCGACGCTGTGCCCCCCAAATAGGAGGCCCCCGGATTTTATTATGCTTACCAGAAAAAAAGGTGTGTGGGAAAGAGTTTCTTTGTGCATGCAAAAGTGTGCGCAAAGTAGCTTCTCTGCGATCACTCGTAGAAAAAATAGTATATTGTTTAACGAGTGACGAAAATGATTTTTGACGAGTAAAACACTATACTTTTTCTTTGACCGTGTTTTGCTAAGTAAAAGTTTTTTTTCACAAGGGTTCCTAGTTCCTAGATACTTACGTTATAATTTGCCTTCCTCTTTCTTATGAAATAAAAATAGAGTGAAATAAATTAATGTTTGGTGGGTTAGGACCATTTGAAACATATGTTTAATAAAGTGCTAAAAATGGAAAGTAAGACTTGACAACGATGAGTATAATTTATTAGTGATTAAATTAATTTATTACAAACTTTGAATAGGTGATTTAATACTATAGGGCTGAGTATTATCATAGAATATTATAAAACTATTGACAGAAAAGTAAGTTAACTTCTGGAATTACTATGAAATTCCAGAAGTTAACTTCAGTTTACCCGCCTTAAAACATATAAGTATTTTCAAATTTATTCTCTTCTATGGGCAAACTGATTAATAGTAACATTCGAACAATTATTTAAGATGATAGGGCTATTAGAAATAAGTTTTTCATGTATGGAGGTAGATGAGGAGATGTCTGCTTGGGTATTTATTATTGAACTTCTTGATGTAGATGGGCTAGGAAATGGCACGGTAGGAGGTGAATTTTGCAACGATTGTAATATTTTAGATTGTATTTGTGATTTTCCCAGAGAAGATTGGTCAACATATCCCTCAGCTACGCTGCTAGATTTCCAACCACCGTGTTTCTTTAATTGAACCAAATCACCTCCTGCGTCGACTAATAGGGTCGCGGAACTTCTTCGGAAACAGTGCCCAGTGTACTCTAGCGCAGCAGGTAAATTTAGATACTAGGCTACTTGCATTGGAAACTTACTAAACTTATTGATACCCACGTATTGTTTGGTACATTTACCATTTTGAAAGTTTACGAAAAATCTTGAATTAGCTTGATTAATTTCCGATGGACGAAGGTTGATATACTTTTTGGAAATATCATAGAAGAATCCGGAAATATGGAAGGATCGTGAAACTTTTGTTTTAGTGTTATGTATTTCCACTAATAGGCCATTTCCAGTGTTTTCAATGTCATTTGTAGTCAAATCCTTTAATTCATGACATCTGCAAGCACCAGAAATTCCGAAAATTAAAGCAATCTGAAAAGAAAAGTATCGATATTGAGGAAGGGTATAAAATACCTACATATTGGTATACATACATCTCGACATACATAATATTGGTATACTTAATAAAAATATATTACCTTAAATTATTGATATCGTTGGCAGAGAGGATTTTTGATTTCTTGGACTTAAATCCGTCAGATTTTCGCTTCAAAAAAGCACGCAACTTGGGGTATTTTTCAATATTTACGTCATTTTTAATTGATAATGTGGTTCTTAACATCGAATAGATGGACCATAAGGTCGATGGCTTAAAATTCTTCGCTAAATTCCCAAAATATACTAGTAAAACATTCTCTGAGAAAGAATTTACTCCATTTGTGGCTCTCTAATCCATGAATTTTGTATAAATTTGTTCATACCGTTCTTTGGATTTGGTTGGTAGTAATTCGTCCAAAGTGTTTTTAGCTATATTGGTGATTTCTGGAGGAGTACTGCTTAACTCAAAATCATCTTCAGAACTAGAACTCATCATGATACACTTTTATGGTGATAATTAAATTGTAATTAACGCAATCCGCAATTCAGAAATTGAACTAAATATTTATGACAGTTTGTTGAAGGCGGCAAATAGCAAACAACACCTAGTCCGGCCGATAATAAAGAATCCTTCGAAATAGTTATTCAGTGAAGCATTGTTAGATGGCGCTGGCTAATTTTTTTACTATTTTTGCTTTTATTACATTATATAAAGCAAAATTCACATTTTGTTGTGTTGAACTATGTTTTTCCATTGTGCTTTGCCGAATAAAATTATAAGTAGATTTGAAGGAATGTATTTAGGATGTAAAATTGTAAAACTTTACTTTCGTCACTAGTGACGAAAGTTATCGTTATGGGATATTTTATCACTAGTGACGAAAGTGACGTTTTCGGCTAAGGTGAAGTATGACGAAAGTTGTTTATTTTTTAACGGTCATAGAAAAACAAGTTTTTGGATTTGCTGTCATTTCGATAGGAAATTTTATTGTCTACAAAAAACCTCAATGCATTTATCGAGGCATTTATGCACCAAAAATGCAGACTGAGCTGAGAGAGAGACTTTGAATATGGAAAGGCCAAATGAAGGATAAACGATAAACTTTAAACTACGCTATTTACATGCACGCAAATGAAAAATGAAAAAAAAAAAAGAGAAAATTTCGTGTTTTTCAAGAAATAAATTTGTTAACTGAGGTAACCAGGTAACTTAGTAAATAAATATTAATAAAAATTTCCCAAAATAATTATTCAAAATGATTATTTATATTTATTTATCTCGTCCGTGCCTTACGAACGACGCCTCTGCCCTGGACGCGGCAAGATGGCTGACTAAATTTATTCTTACCTGTGAAAAGTGCTATTTCCACCCCGTTCCTCCAATTTTCTGCATACCACACACTTCATAATTGTCTTCTACACCTCTTACTCACAAATTAACTCCAAAAATATATCAATACACTCCAAAAACACACAAAAAACGATAATTTTTAACTCTGCAACCACGCTAGCGTAAGTTTTCGAAAATGAATGAAAAATGAGTAGGTACGCTACTTCAACAGCGTTGCCGGTTTGATTTGTAGAGTTGCTTTTCCGAGGATGGTTACTGTTTTCGCACTGATTTTCCTAAGTTTTTTTCGTTCGGAAAAAGACAATATAATCAGAAGAAACAGTTTTTCGGTAACTTCATATATTAGATATTCAAATTTGTTCTGAAAATTTGACGAACTGTGATCACAATTATTTACGTCCTGATATTATTATTTTCTGTCAATATGGCAATAGCGCAGTTTTGTTTGTAAATAGGAGGGTACATGTCTGATTTCGATTAGGAAAAGGTTGTGGTGTCTATCCTAGGTTAGAGGTCAATGGAAAAACCCCATTTGTATTATTGAAAATGTAAAACTTCGATTTCAAATCAAAAACCATCTAAAACGACAGGAAAAAAACACAAGATTTTTAGGTTATAAAGCAAAACCGAAACAAAAACTTGGAAAGAAATTTTGGATACTATTAATCCAGTAGAGTAGTATTACAATCATATTTTTGATCAATATAGCGCCAATCTAAACTTAGATTAATATCGGTAAATGATTCGATTGATTTACTTGTTAGGCTAAAATATGGTAAAATATATCAAACCATGATAAGTAGCAGCAAATGAGTTCCAATAAATAACAACCAAAATTTGATTATTATTAGCAAAAATAAAATTTAATTTGCCTATGATATTCCTGAATATAATTTATATATTCTTAAATTTAGCTAAGTGTTGAATAGTATCAAGCAATTTTTGGATCAGTTCAAGTTGATTGTAGATAATATTTGCTAAATATATGATTGATTTTAGAAAAAGATATGACGAAAGATAGCAAA